GCAAGACCCTACAGGCCAGCAGCCTGCTCTGTCTCTTCGTGACTTTCAAAGGCTTTGGGCTGACAGTGTGCTGTGGCTCACCCCGCCCTCCCCCTGTCCGTCCTGCTGGGCCAACTGTCCCAGCTAAGCATCTCCCTCTAAGGGGTGGTCACAAAGGCCACAGTCCAGAGATGGCCCCCACGGTGCTTCTCTGATTCTGTCCCCATCCTCACCAGAGGCTTTGCTAATCAACATAGTGGAAGTCAAATATGGACTTTCAGAGGTGAAAATGGCCTGTTAACTAGCATGAGAAATGTTGAAATGGGCTCTTATTGGTGAAAAATGAGGTATTCATGCATATAGTATCTCCTACAGACTGAGTTGGATCCTCCCCAAATTCATATGTTGAAGCCTTAATCCCCAATGCGATGGCATTTGGAGGTGTGGCCTTTGGGAGGTGATCAGGATTAGATGAGGTCCTGAGGTTGGGCTCCCCATGATAGCATTAGTGCCCTCATAAAAAGAGACACCAGAATGCTTGCTGTCCCCCTCTCCGTCTCTGCCGTGAGGACACAGCGAGAAGGCAGCTGACTACAAGTCAAGAAGAGGCCCCTCACCAGACACCGAATCTGCCGGCACCTTGATCTTGGACCTCCAGCCTCCAGAACTGCAGGAAATCAACGTCCGTTGTTCAAGGCCCTGGTCTGTGGTGTTCTGCGCTGGCAGCCTGAGCTGAGCAGGACCCTCCCCACTTTGAGAGTAGGCCCATACCTCCAGGGACCCTTACACAGGCCTGGTCCTGTCACTCAGTCAGGTTTTGGCTGCCTGCCTGGAGGTGTCTTCCTCATCTGCCTTGAGAGAGCCCTTTATGCCAGGTGAGGCCCTCCTCATGTGTACAGAGCAGGTGACCAGGAGGCACCTGGGGCACCAAGAATCTACTAGACACAGCGTTCCCACCTGCTAAGGACGGAGCCGGAGCAGCTTCTTCCGTCCGGGCGAGGAGGCTGGGCTGTGCCCAGGAGGTGGGTCCCATTTTACCGATGAGGACCTTGGGGTGGGGACTTAACTCTCCTGCCGAGAAAAGGTTGTCCCTCTCAGTCCCCTGAGGGTCACAGCCCCCTCTGGAATCCGATGGAAGAAGCTCCGGCTCCTCTCCTGGCTTAATGCCCACTCATGGACCAGTATGCATCTAACTTCGGAGGCCCTGACCCCTCCCCACCTGCATCTCTCAGACTTCTGTAGCCGGCTCTGGGGGAGACAAGAGACGGCTCTACGTCACCACACCACCCCCATCCAAGAGCTAAGGGGCTCCCAGTGAGTAAGAGCTGAGCTCCCAAAGCCCCAGAGGCAGAAAGAAAAAACCACCTGTCTGAGCTTCAGCCCACAGCTGGAAAAGCCAAACCGAATTTGCTCTCTGCACGGGGTCCAGTCACCCTGCAAACACCAGCGCCCCATTGCCACATTGGGGTCAGAATTAACCAGCTCATCTGGTGATTCCACGGGCTCCCGCCAGGGCAGCAGCACCCTCTCCACCGTCCTCATTCAGCCTGGGCTCTCACCCTCCAACCCCCAGGACCCTGCCAGCCAGGCTCCGCCTCCTGAAAACCCTCGTTCCTGCCTCTGGGGGCTCCCAGATCCCACTCCTGCTGCGTCCACCTCGCAGCCTGCCCCACAGACGCACCGGAGGCCCCGGTCTCCCCCGATGGGCACAGGTGCAGTGACCCTCTAGGACTAGAGGCACAACAGAAGGTGGAACCCACGTTAGGAGTCGCCTAGAGCTTCTGGCTCTTTCTACTGGGCCAGTTATGTCCGACGCTTAGATATATTTTTTTTTTAAGTCTAAAAAGCGGGCCCAGTAACACCTTCTCTATCTACCACCTAAGAAAGCTGGAAGGATCAAGGTCACAGACGTGAAGAGACAGAAAAGATAGCAGTCACCCATAAAAGTTGTGATTTCTTTGATGTTTTTGGATCCAGTGAATGGAGAGTCCCGTGGGTGACCATAAGAATCTTCGAGGTGATCATTTCTGCGTCTGGGCCAGAACTGGAGCTTACCCAGTACACCTGGCATGCCCTCACTCCCACACACGCACGCACACACACGTGCACTCATGCACACACATGCACACGTGCACATGTGCACACACGCACCGACCCAACCACTTTCCACTTCCTCTCTGCTGATTGATGCCCGTGTCCCGTAAATTCACAGCAAGGGGGCCGTGGGGACGGGCACCTTCCCTGCCTGGGCCAGAGGGGCAGACCTGGAAAGAGAACCCTGTTAAGCCTGCTCTGACCACATCTTCAAGAGCCAAACTCCTGTCCATTCTGGCTCCTGTGCAGCCGCCCCAGAACCTCCTGTCACTCTACCTCCCCCATGTGCCTTCAAGCTACAGGGATGGGTTCTCATCCATTCAACAAACAGTTCCGAGCACCTGCTGTGTGTCAGACACCACTGTTGTTACTTATTGTCACTGCTGTTGAGAGTAGAGGTGTCTTTTGTGTTGGGAAAATGCCTGTCAGTTTTCCAAGAGCTTCATGTGAACTCACTCAGTCCTCACACGCTGGTCACAGGCAGGGCGAGCTGCCTGGCAGCCACACAGCTGGGAAGCAGAGAGTCTGGCTTGAACTCAGGTCGCTTCCCAAACATTTCATTCAGGGGCCAGAGTCCTGTTCCTGCTAGTGGGATCCCAGATCTCTGCTTGTTACAGAACTCTTTCACTTAACTTGTAACTTCAGGTTCCGGAACGCGAAAGACAAGATAACCTGAATACCTCCCCACTACACACAGCCAGAATCGCTGGGTAAAGCATGACAGGCATTGTTTAAATGCAGACCCACACACCCACCCGGGAGAGAGGTCTCCCATGGACCAGAAGCAAAGACGTGGTGGAAACCGACGGCTAAACTCACGTGCCCGCGAGAGGTCTTCTTGAGTTTACTGCTCAGGCTGGAGGGGGGTGGGAGACAGTGGGCCCAGAGAGGACAGAGACCACTGCAAAAAGGCAGAACCCCCAAGGGCCAACCGCCTCTGCCAAAGGGTGAACTAGAAAAAGAATCTCCCCATCAGTACAATACAAGCGGGAGGCTTGTATTTCACTCTGGGCTCTGGCTAAAACACAAATGAAAAGAACAGTCACCTTTCAGAGTATGGATCCAGGGGCCTCTTGCATAATTTAGGCTTGGAATTGAAGTTTAGAGCACCCACGTGGTTTAGGAACCCCTAAGCCAATACATTGGTATAAAAACAGGAATCGGGAAGGTAAATTCCCAGGGGAGCCTGGCTGAAGCAAACACGAGCTACTCTGAGGCCAGGCCCAGCCTCAGGGTTCTGCAGATAAAGCCCTGATTAGGATGAGCCCACAGCTTGAAATTACAAAGCCCCCAAGGAAAGGACCCACCAGGTCAAGGGACCCAAACAATGTCAGCAGCAGGCCCCAGAACTCCAGCTATTTGATCGATGAAGATAGTAAAATATGTATAGTTAGAATTATTATAGATATAATTTGTACATGGAAGGTGTGAGAAATGAAAGGGAAACACACACACACACACACACACACACACACAGGAACAGTGGACATGATACAGAACCAAACGATTTCTGAAAATAAGTAATTGAACTTAATAACTCAATGGACTGTTTAAAAGAATGAGATGAGGGAATGGGACAAAGGATGGGCACAGGAATTGGGGGAAGAACAAGAAAGTGCAGAGGAAGAGAGGCTAAGGGAGGAAGGAGGGCGAGAGGGAGGAGGGGAGCCAGCTTAGTCCATCAGGCAGTCAACGCGCTACACTAAGCTCCACATGTGTATTAAGCAGTGGGGGTGATGGGTGGTAGATAATGGGTCGATGGGTGGGAGGACGGTGGAGGGGCATGTGGGCAGGTAGATGGAAGATTGGTGGGTGGGTAGGTAGGTGGTGGGTGGATGGATGGATGAACAGATGGGTGACAGATGGTGAGGGTAGGTAGGTGAAGGGGGAGACCGTGGGTGGGTGGTCGATAGTAGACGGATGGATGAGTGAAAGGGTGGGGGAAGGGGCGGGTGGGTTGATGAGTAGGTGGGTGAGTACATAGATAAGCGGATGGGTGATTAAGTGGTTGTCCAGATGAACGGGAGACGGTCAGGTTGGTGGAGCGGTAGAGGAGTGGATAAGAGAATGAATGGTGGATGGCGGTGGGTGGTGGGTGTTGGGTAGGTGGATAGTAGACGGGTGGATAAATGGACGGTGGGTGAAGACAGAGCCCGCCACGCCTCGCCCACCTGGGCTCTGGCCTTCAAGGCGTCGTAGTCATCCTTCATCTTCTTCTGGGCGTCCTCGTCCACACTGGGGTCCCCGATCCTGTAGAACAGGGAGGCCGCCTCCTCCAGCAGCCGGTCCAGGAGCACCACCTGGTTCTCCACGTTGTTCAGCAGCACCTGGGCGTGGCTCAGCTGCCACTGCTTCTGCTGCAGGCCCAGCTGCAGCTCCACGGGGGGCTCCAGTGCCACCGCTATCTTCTGGAACCAGCGATAGAACTCGTCCTGGGCCATAAGGTACTCGCTCCAGTGCAGCCACACCCACTCGATGCGGCTGTGGGCACAGAGACCATGGCTGTGAATGACCTGGCTTCTGGGCTCTCCCTAGTCCTAGGGGGCTGTGGGAGGGGGTCCAGTGACATCCTCTCTGGGCCTCAGAGTCACCTGGGCAGCTTGTGGACACCCCAGATTCTGGGCCCTACCTCAGTGCTACTGGACAAGCCCCTCCGCCTGGTAAATTAGCTCCATGGTGGGGCTGCGGCTCAGATTCCAGACCTGCTCTGCAGACCAGCAGCCTTACTGGCACAGCAGATGGGGCCTTAGCCACCAGGACCCCAACTTCCAGCCCTAGATTCCCACTGTCGATACACAGGCGCCCAGTCATTTCTCCCTGGTGTTAGGGATCCCCACACAGTCACCTCAGCCTCTTACCACGGGCGTGCCCACTAACAGTCATGGGAAGATGTCACTGAGAGCATGTTTGGTCATTTGCAGAATACGGTCGTGTCTGTGGGCTTGTCACCACTCAAGGGGACAGAGGCTGAGGGCTTGTGTGTGGGTTCTGGGGGGGCCATAAACTCCCTGAGTAACCCTGCCTCCTCTCTCGCCTCGGTTTCCCCATCTGTAACATGGCGATGGCCCTATCAGTCCGGCCAACATCAAGGCACTTTGGAATTCCAAGTAAAAGGGTTTGAAAAGCAGAAAACACTGTACGAAGCATTTCTCTCCCCACTCCACCCCCTAGTACATTCAACATTCAGTTTTATCAAGATGGAGAGGATGCTGGCAGGTCCTGTTTACAGAGGACCTACTGTGTGCCAAGCACTGTGCCTTGCTCTTGACATTTGCTATCTCCCCTTTCCATCCTCCTGACAACCTTCAAGGAGTCTGAGGAGAGAGCAACTTTGCCAAGGTCACGCAGCAAGTAACTACCAGAGCGAGGGGCAATCCTGGGCCTGTCTGATACCCCGCCCTTGCCGCCCGGCTCCCCGATGCAGGCAGAGAACTTGGCCCAAAGAGCTGGGCAGGCGACAGGCCTTCTCACCCCAGGGCCATTCTCCCATGGTGCTGGAGGATGCACACATGGCGAGTCTATAAAGAATTAATCGTTGGCCAAAAGATGGGCTCCCACTGTCCACTGTCACCGCTAAGCCCAGTTATAATCAGAAAGCGGGCGGCAGGGCTGGCAGAAATCCCAAGAGCACATCCTGCTCCCAGGAATCCCAGCTCTGGAGAAGAGCGCTTTGGGTGGAGGCCCCAGGCCTGGGTGGTCGTGGGCAAGGAGGGTCCGGGGCCAACTGCAGTCAAAGCCCTGGCAAGGTCTCCGGCAACCCTACCTGTGACAGTGAGTCATGTAGGTGACTGTGTCCTCCCATTCGTCCTTGATGTCCCTTATCTGGGCCAGAATCCTGGCCTTCTGGTCCTCGCGGCAGCATGCCAGGAGCTCTTCGGCTGCCTGCAACACCAGGTCCACCTTCAAGTGCCCCTCCGGCTCCAGCTGGCATATTTTCTGTCATGGACACAAAAGCCAGTTTCCAAGGGTTAGACGAAGTGCACACGGGCATAGCCACCGACAGCGACGTGATGGGAAGAAAGAGCCTGGACTATGAGCCCAGAGGTGCTAGGGTTTGAATCGTGGCCGCCGCCCCCTTCTCTTGTGGCCTGGCAGCCTGCTGCTGCCTCTGAGGGTGGGAGCGGGGAGCGACGGGTTAGCACAGAAGCGCCCGAGCTGTCTGGTGGCTTGGGTTGCCCCTCTTCCCTGCTCGGCCTGCTTCGAGCTGTGTGAATTCAGGCAAGTTTCACCATCTCCCTGGACGACTTGGTTTGACCATCTGTAAAATGGGAGTGTTAACAATACTTAGCTCTAAGATTTCTTTTTCAGAATTAAATGAGAAAATGCACACGAAGCACGTGTCACGGTGCGGGGCCGTGAGAACCCGCCTCCCAAGTCTACGCAGGGCGCAGGCTTGCCCCAGGCCCCGGCTAAGGCTCCGGAGTCACCGGAGTTTGCGATGGTCAAGGCTGCAGCAAGTGCCCAGCAGACACCCCGAGTCCCGCTCAGCAGCCAGTGGCAATGTGGAAAAGAAAATCCCATAGTGACTAGTGTGGACTAAAGGTCCGAGGGCCCCTGTGGAATGTTCTGGACTGAGGATTATCCATCCCCTGCCCAGAAAATTTCACACCACACAGGACTGGGGGTCCCACCACTGGACGAGCATGAATTTCCTGTCACCCCCTGAGATTTAACTGGGTTAGAAATCATCATCATAAGCAAGGACCTGTACGTCTGACTCCGGGCTGCGGAGCGCACTGCGAGCCCACTCCCCATGCGAGCGAGACGGGCGCCACGGGAATCCGGTTCTACAGACGAGGGCGCTGGGGGCCCATGGAGAGCCTGAACTTTGCAGAACGAGTCTCTGCAGCAGTCAGCGGGCCTCCTCCCCATCTGCCGCCCAGTGCGAGCTCGGCGGACTCCGGCTCCGTAAACCAAGGGCGCCAACAGCTCCCGCAAAGCTCAGTCCCTCTCTGCCAAACCCAGAAGGAGCCGGCCAGGTCCGGGAAGTCGCTGTGGGGACAATGGCCCTTCCTCAAAGCCTAGTGCCCCAATTGTGTGACCTCGTCCAGGCCTCTGCTCTGCCCTCCCGAGTCCTGGTCAGGGAGGCACAGGCTGCACTACGAGACACGGGAGATCCGAGCCCCACGCCCTTTGCACGGAAGTGAGTCTGTTGTTTCCTGGCCAAGGAGAGAAGAATCGGCCAGTCCCAGAGGCAGGCAGGACACCTGGCTGAAAGCAGGAACATCTCCCGAACTACCAAGTAGTGGGTGGTTGGCTGTGGGCCGGGCCCAGGGGCCAGAGACCATAGTTGGCCTGGCAGGATCAACTTTTGAGAAGCAGATCCCACCCTTCCTTGCTGCCCTGATGACTGTGCCCTTTGGCTGGTGCAAGGATTTTTTCTAGCCCATCACCAGCGAGGACGCGGCCCAGGAGTGCCCACTGAGGGCCACTAGCCAGCTGGGAGGGGACTCAGACTGCAGCTGCAACACCGTTTTGATGTGACGGCGCCAAGGAAGACAACAGTCAGGTGGCGGCCGGATGGAGGGGAAACCTCGGGGGTGGGGCGGGCGGCGGGGAAGCAGGAGACGAGGACAGCTGGAGGGAAGGGGTTCGTCAGGGCTTTCCGCCCTCACGGCCAAGACCGGCTGGGCTCTGCTGGGCTCTGTGCTGGGCTCTGCTGGGCTCTGCTGGGCTCTGTGCTGGGCACTGTGCTGGGCTCTGTGCTGGGCATTGTGCTGGGCTATGCTGGGCTCTGTGCTGGGCACTGTGCTGGGCACGGCTCTGGGCCCTGGATCTGGATGAACAAATGTGGCCTGACGCAGGCTGTGCTGGGCTCTGCAGACAACAGCACAGATGACCGTGAAAGAGCAGTGAGGCCACAAAGCACGACGGTGGCTCCAAGGAGGGGTGTGGGGAGGTCCAGGAAGGCTTCGTGAGCAGGCGGCGCTGGCACCGAACCTTGGTGATGTGCAGACGTTTGAGCGGGGGATGCGAGCAAAAGTTAAGCATGACGTGTTTAGGGACAGTGAGCGTGTCTGGCTTTTGGATGCCCGGCCCCAGGAAATGCTAGCATGCTCCTGGCCACAGAGGGGCCTGGAAGCCGGTAAGTAGGCAGCCCAGGTCAGGCCAGGCCCCAAGTGCAGAGCCAAGGAGGCTGGGAACCAGAGGACAAATAGGCAAGACGCTGGGACGCAAGCCACCAGCTCCTGAGGCTCGGGGCGTGGGCGTGCCTGTACGCCTGCATCGGAACCACAAGAAACGACCCGCTGCCCTGGGCCGGCTCTGCCAGCAAGCCCCGCCCTGTGCCAAGCACGCCAGTAACTTCTTCGCCTCAGTCCTCCTCCCTCCCGCCTGGGGGCAACTCCCACTTCCCCGAGTGAGCAGAAACTGCGAGGGCTCGAGAAACTCTCCCCAGTTGCTACCGCGGGCTGCAGGAGGATTCAAACCCAGGACTGGGGTGCAGACCTAAGCTCAGCCTCTGAAGCAACATTCTCTCAATCTCCCTTCACAGACGGCTTCTGCCTCCACGAGGGTCCTTGCGCCTCAATGTACAGGGGTGAGGGGTCCTTCCCTCCCCATTTTACTGATAAAAATGAGGTCGTGGGTGGGCATGGGACTCGCCTCCGGCCACACAGCATCAGAGCTGGATCAGAACTCACATCACGGTCACTCTAGCAAACAGGCACTCTGCACACGCATCTCTAAGCTGGTGGAGGGGCCACGAGGGAGACTCCAGGCCCCAGAGGGAGGTCCCCGGACTGGGAGGGTGGACAAGGCTCTCGTTGTTTCCTTTGGCCACATGGAGGAAGGGCAATGTTTTCTTATTGTGAAATTGGTTTCAGAATATCAAAGCACATGGAAGATGAGCGTGCCTGAGCCCCGCGGGAGAGCACGGCAGTGGAGCACCCACCGAGGGAGGACACCACACCCCCTCCCAGGCTCCAGGTCAAGTTCCTGGGGCTCGCCTGATGAAGCGCTCCCTCCGGCCTCCGGCCTTGCCAGCAGGGTTTCCTAAGGACTACGCCGCCTCGCTTAAGCCAGACCCACCGCCGGGAGGAAATGACCTGCCCACGAAGGGTGCAAGACGCCAAGGATGCAAGGGTGCAAGCGCCCCGAGACAGCGAGCACACACTCAGGGCAGTGGCGGTCTCAGGCAGACGGCCAGGAGCTGGAGCTGCGAGGGGGCAGGAGAGCTCGAGGACATTTCACAGGAACAGCCAGACCCGAACAGAACGGCGTTCCATGGACGAAGGCTCAAGGATATCAAGCAGGTTTCCTGCCAACAGGAGGCGGTGTGTGCTTGGGAGGTGGGATGGCGGGGGTGAGGCTGGGCGGCTGGAGAGGAAAACGGCTGGGCAGAGAGTGGAGGTCTTTTGATGCCAAGTCATGGTTGGTGTCTCTTTGGTGGACAGTGGGAGCTACGGAAGGCTGTAGAGGAGGGTAAGATCATGAGACCCGTGTTAGGGGTGCTCCTCATACATGCACGTGTGGCCACCCGGATTATGTGCATGCCTGTCCTCAATTAGGCCGTGAACTCGACAGCAGGGTGTGTCCCACCCGCCTCCACTGTCCAAGACCCCCCACGGGATGGCCAGCGGGGCTCTGAACTCGGCCCCAGGCTCAAGCCCTACGAAAGCAATTCCTTGAATTCCGGCCCCAAACGGCCCCCAACCTTCCAAATTGCCAACCTACCACCTGCTCTGTTACACAAGAGGGGTCCAAGCTCTGTGGCTTGGGGTTCTAGACCGTCACCCACCTCTCTGGCCCTGTCCCCTGCTTCTGCCTAACAGCTGGTGCTGCCCAACGCCAACCATACTGAGGATCCTGGCATGTGCCCCCAGCTGTTTCTACCTCCAGAACCTTTCTGACACTGTTCCCTCTGCCTGGAGGCCCCCTTGTCCCCACCCTCACCCCTGGACCCCCACCCTGGCTAACTCCTCATTTAAGCCACAGCGGCAAAGTCACTTGTCCCCAGCAGCCTCTCTAAACTCCCTAGGACTAGGCTGGGGGATGTGAGCCCCTCAGGGGCCCCGAGTGTCCTCCGGGAAGTGAAGTGGGGCTCTCCATTCACCGGGGTTCATCGCCCAATCGGGAAGGCTTTGACTAGATCACTCAAGAGTGGTCGGGCTCTAACCAGCACACGGAGCTTTGTTCGCGGCTGTCATAGGCCATGTGGGGACGGGGTGTCCTTCCCCGCTGGGAGATGCAGCCTCGCACTGACCGAGGAGGAGCAGGGCCGTATTTATTTGAGCTGTGTGGCAAGCGGCTGGGGGCGGAGGCCGGGGTGCAATCACCTGGGGGTGAAGAGGGCATCGCGGGAGGGGACTAGAAAGGGTGTCACGGTCACCAACAACTTGGTCATTTACATCAAGCTTTACAGGCCGCCAAGTTAACTGCATGATGCTAACATGCAGTTAACAACAAGCTGGCCCTCACTGAATGCCCTGCGGGTCTCCGACCCTCCTCAGAGCAGCATTCTGAGATCATTAGCGACACCTCGATTCCAGGAAGGATGTGAACTGGGGCCCAGAAGGGTCAGGTGACTTGCAGGGAGCCACACCCAGCAATAAGCAGAGCTGGGATTTGAACCCAGGACATCCAGACTGCAAAGCCTTGTTCTGTCTCTAGTTCAGTGAGCTGTTCAATTCAACAGAGCGTCTGAGAAACCGGAGCACCCCACTCCCTGACCCTGCCAGACACAACATTATGTGAACACCCATCTCTGGAGAAGCCCGAGGAGGACTCAGAGACCCGAGCTCTAGAATGGAAAGTCCACCCGGAGACATGTCCACCTAGACGAGTCGCACGATCTCTCCAAGACTCGGTTCCCCCAACTGTACAGTGCAGACAATGGCACCTAGTTCATGTCTTGGTGAAGCTCAAACCATTGACTCTGAAAGGGTGATGTAAATTCTTAGTTTTGACCGTCCACCTGAAAAAAGACATCATGTATTTTCAACAAAATCCGTAAGACAGCACACACAAAGAAGCCACTCAGGGACGTGGGGTCCCTGGTCGGGGATCAGCTCATGTGGAAGAGGTAATTCTGATTCTGTCGAATCAGAATTGTGGAATACCCCAATGGGTGTGACCTGAGAAACGTGTCTGTCAGATGTTTTGCTTACCGTTGGGAAACTGAAGCCCAGAGAGGGACAGAGACTTGGTGGAGGTCACACAGCACTAGTATCAACATGGAGACTATAACCCAGGTCTCTGGCTCTTAGTCCAGTGCTCTTTGCCCTTGTACCGGGCTTGGAGCAGATGCTCTCAGATGGGAGTGCCCAGTGCCGGGCCAGGCGCCAGGCATCAGCACTTCTAGTCAGTGTAGCTCCGCATGTACTGAGCCCTGCTTTGTGCCAGGCAGGGGGTAAAGCTGAACCTGGACCCGGAGAAGCCGAAAGAGGTCACCCATCACTGGGCAGAGCTTGAAGCCAACCAGGGCCCACGCAGATCTGGCAGGGACTTGAGCCCCAGGGACACAGGAAAGGGGGTGGGGAAGCCAGGTCTGGGCTAGCCGGGGACCCACCTGGTTGCACGGTGCCCCTGCCAAGACAAGAGGGCCAGAAGGCAGGCTCTAGACCCTCACTGTGAAGGTGTGGTCCAAGCACCAGGAGCAATGGTGTCACCTGGAGCATGTCAGAAATGCCACATCTTGGGCCTGCCCGACCTCCTGGATCAGAATTTGCACTTCAACCAAAATCGTCAGGAGATACAAACACATCGGAGCTTGAGAAACACCCCACCTTAACAGTCGGGAAACCTGGGGCCTAGACCACCCCTGCCATTTAACCTAAGGCCCAAGAAGGAGGGACAAGGCCAAGGCCACGGGTGAGTCGCGTGGCCTTGCCCCTGCATACCTCGGTCTGCCACAGCCTGGCCTCCAGGGCATCGCGGGGCCCCTGGGTGTTGTCGTTGATCTGCAGCTGCTCCTGCACGGCCCGCATCCACTCCCGGGCATCTTCCAGGCTCCCGTTGAAGTCCTCCTGGGCCCGCAGGGTCATGGCGCCTGCGGGGGTGGAAAGCGGGACCACGTGAGATCGGGCAGAAGGGCAAGAATGCAGGGGGCAGGCTGATGGGGCCACGAGGGCAGAACTGACAGTGGGGACAGGCCGAACCCCCACTCCCGGAGCTCTGACCGGGGACTGGGGTGACACGGCCAGAGCGATGGGGTTTGTCAAAGAGCCAAAGGACCGCAAACAGGTAGGGAAGGAACACAGGTCTGGCCTCTTGTGTGGCAGAGCAGGGATGGCGGGCCCGGGGTGCCAGCTTGGCCTGGCAGCTTCCCTGCTCCCCTCTTGCCCACCTCAGGACTCAGGAGTACCTCCTGTCTCTTTGAGTCGAAGCCCCTTGCAAAGAGGACCCCAAAACACATATGGTCTGCAATGTCGGTAATGGATGATAATGCATCTGGATCTGAATGGATCAAAAGCCTCAACCTAAAAATCACGATTTGGGGCTCTGGCCAAGCTAACGCCAGCCCCTGAAACTCTCTTAAAATTAATATCTCAGGCCGGGGATGGCCATGCTAGTCAGGTGTCTGATGGCTACTTCTCTGACAGCTGGGGTTCACAACAGATATTGCTTCCATGGAGTCACACACCACGTACTCCTGGCAGCCGCTGACAATCAGCTGACCCGGCACTTGAGACCTGCTTGTATGCCTGCCTTAGGCAACACTTGCCTGCTGGCATCGATCTCCCAGATAAACCAAGCCCTCTGCTACACGGCCCACACTTCCCTCACCCTTACCTTCCAGCTGCGGAGGCAAAGTCTCAGATTTTCTCATGGAACTTTCTCAAAATCCCATTAAGCCCAGACAAAACTCTCCTGTACGCCAGTCTTGTCTGCTTATGGCAACTCTAACCTACTTTGGATTAAAGTTATTTATATCTGCATCTTATGTGGAGGATTGTGTCTAGCTTATCCTCCAATCTCCCATATTGCCTTGTACAGAGTAAGGCCTTTGCAAATGTCTTTGAAATAGCCCAGAATCGATATAAAGTTTAATGCGCTGAAAACCGATCACAGTGTTAGCTAAAACGACAAAACAAAACAAAAATAGCAACAACCCGAATGCTCAATAATAGGGGTTAGTCAAGTAAAGTATGGTACACGTACCCTTCAGAATATTATGCAACCAACAAAAAGCATGCTTAAAATGAATCCGTGATGGAGAATTCTTAGAATATAATGATAACATCAAAAGAGACAAAATTGTATATTTAGTAGTCACGACTCTACAACTAATCAAAGCAAAATAAAATAACAACCACAAAAACCGCGCTCATAGGAAAAAATTGGGAAGTCCTACCATTACAGTGTCCATGTGACTGAATTAGATAGAGTGCAGGCGGGGGCCAGCTGGAAGTTTTTCTGTTTATTTTTCCTCTTAGGTACTTTGTGAATTTTCCAGAAAGGGCAATCGTTATTTAAAACAAAAACCAGTTTCTAAACCTTGGCTGAATTGTTTATCCGCCTTTTCTTCTCAATCATCAGTTGGTTGTTCATCAACTGATGGGACAGGTTGACTGGGAATCTGGGCACCCTCCCGGGGCCCTGCGCTGGGCGGGTCTGCCATCGGACTCCACAGGACAGGCCATCGGACCCACAAGGAAGGACACTGGCGGTGACAAGGAGTGGGCCACCCAGAGTGGCCTTCGCTCCGGATGCTGGGCCCACCCGCCATTCACAGCTCAGTGTCCCACGTGTTGTTTCCCTTTTAGAGCTGTTTTCATTTTTTCTGACCATTTAATATGTCTCCACAGCCACTCCCAGCCTTTGAATGCTTCGTTTGAAAAGCACATTAGAATGTGCGGGCGTTTAAATTGGTTCATTGTGGCTTTAATCTCTTGTCTAGCGTGTGAGTTGATTGGCTTCCAAAAGCTCAGCTTTTATTTCTATAAAGCAAGAAATGGGAGAGGCAGGAATGAGGCTCCCAGAGTTTCGAATGACCCAACAGTGGGGAAAACTCTAACTACCAAAAGCCAGAGAGGTTTTGCACAACGCTTCCAGCTGGAAATGCCCAGGGCCTATGAAACGTGGAGTTTTGGAGACCCCGAGGTGGGTACATCAAAGGAAACACAAGGGGTCCATGGGCGGGGGCGCAAAGCAGGGCCCGAGACCCAGGGATCAGCCCCGGCTGAGGGATCTAATTAGCCATGGACTTGGGGCGGTTGCGGGCAGAGTTCAAGGGACATGGGCTTCTTGTTCTGTTCTGCCCGACCATTTCCTTCCAATTCCACGAAACACACAGGAATTAAGCACATACTTCCAGCTAGGCCTGATACAATCACAGCAGCAAATGAGCAGGCATTACCACCCCTGCCTCAAGAGGCTCCCAGGAGAGAAAGTGCACCTTGAACCTGAGTGTGGGTTGCAGGTGGATGAGCTGCAAGCCAGGTGGGGGGTTTGAGGAGAGTGGGAAGGGCTCTGAACTTTTTCTGAGGACCCCTTCTCAAAATAAAGGCTTGAAATGACGAGAATAAAATGCAGAGAATTACAGAGGGAACCAACCAGATTAAAACATAGTTTTCGAAATACTGAAGTCGAATTCATGAGACCCACACACGCACTCCTTGACCACATTAATTCACAAGATCTAACAAGGAGTCCAAACGCTACCTTGATTTTGAAATAGTGATGGGCATAAATGACATTCCTAGGTATGCACAGCTGTAATGCAACATAGACACATGTGTGACAGACACAGCCACAGTCACTGCTAGTGCCAGACGGCGCTTGTTTTGGTTTGTCTCATGAATAATTGAAGGAATTGTTATCAGTGAGAGGTTAGTGGCAGTAGGGTGTAGTTAGTTTCCTATCCAAGTTCATGGGCCCCTAAATCTTATCTGCAGCTCCCTGTCAGTCCACTGACCGGGAAGAATCCTGCTCTGAGCCTCCCAGCAGCCAATGGAAAGGAGCCTGTTTCATTACACAAGGTTCAAAGCTGAAGTTAAAAGCAAATGAGCAGCTCGTGAAATGCCCATCCACAAGTGATTTAAGGCCCAGGAAGACAGTCCCCCAAGCGTCCCTCCTTGGAACTCACCAGGGAGCCTTGTATATTTCCCTTTGAGGGAGCCCTGGGTGGAGGTGGAGGCCTCAGGGAGAAAAGTGGCCAGGTGAGCCGGGCAGAGGGCATCCAGCACCTTCTCTGATGAAAGAAGGAGCTTGGTCCTCAATGAACTCAAGTCAGCTTCTGGCCCTCTTCCCACCCCTCCTCCAGGCAGCAGCCAGACGGGCCTTTCTAAAACACAAATCCAGCTGGCCACTCACTTCCTTACATAAGCGATCTATCTGTGGCAGCATGGGCCGCAGACTGGCCCCCCCGCTCCCAGTGTGACCCTGTTTCCACCCTTGCTTCTTCCCGGTCCCCGTACAATCAAGCCCACGGCAGACGTGCAGCTCTTGGTCCCCAGCCAAGACCACACATGACCTCTGCCCCCTCTGCTGGAAGCATGCTCCTTCCCAAAGCATCGCCATCCATGGAAGAGCCTCTAAGCGCCTGTGGCCGCCCACCACACTTCTCTGTGCCCTGAGGACTCGTCTTCCCTCTTGCCTGGGTACAGGACGGAGCCTCAGCACCCAGTGCTCGTGAGCCAAGTTACCGGCCCTTCATTAACAGCGGCTGGAGGAACAAGTGAGCAAAGGAAGCGAGGGGTGATGCTGGGCGGAGCGGGGCGGCGGGGCACCCACGACGGGACAGGGAAAATGGTAAGGAGAGCCCTGGACCTGGAGTCCATACGCTTACGCTGAGCAAGTGCCTTTGCCTCGCTGGGCCTCAGTTTCCCCACCTGTACACTGTGAGTGTTGAGCAGGGGGGGTCTCTGAGGGACCTCCGAGGTTGTGGGTTGAGAGAGTCCATGTCACCCAGAAGCTGTGAGCCCGGCCCCCCTTCTCCCCCAGGGAGCCCCTCCTCAGCCAGCTCGAAGCATCGCTTCCAGCATCGTGGCCCCCGCTAAGGCAGGCCAAGGTGCCTTCCAGGGGAGACGGCTCAGGGGACCTTTGGATCAGCGGGGGGAAGAGGGATATTTTCGTAAAGAGGCAGATAGCAAATATTCTTAGACTTTGCAGGCCACGTGCAGTCTCTGTTGCATCTACTCCTTTGATTTTGCAACCTTTAAAAAATGTAAGAACCATTCTATATTCACTAGCTATACCAACAGACTGCCAGCAGAATGGGGCCTTGGGCTAGACTTTGCCACCTCTGACGGCGATGGCCCAAGGGTGAAGTCAGCAGCTGCAGGAAGCCACAGCAGCCAGCAGGCAAAGCTAGCTGGCTAAGTGACCCACAGACACGTGCCCTGGGAAAGGACAGGTGTTGAGGCCAAAAGGACCTAGAATTGGTCCCGGTGGTCTTGGCCCCACCATTTACCAGCTGTATGACATCTGGCCAGTCACTTAACCTCTAGGTCTCTGTCTCCTTATCTGGAAACGGGGTGTCCGATTCGGTTCAGGCTGCTATGCCAAGGTATCTGTTTATAGGTGACTTTTAATCAGCAGAAATTTACTCCCCACAGTCCTGGGGGCTGGAGGTCTGAGATCAGGGTGTCGACAGGGCCGGGCGGGGACCCACTTCCGGGTGGCAGACTTCTTACTATGCGCTCACATGGGAAGGGGCTAGAAAGCCCTTTGGGATGTCTTTTACAAAGGCACGCATCCCATGCATGAGGGTTCCAACCTCATGACCTAATCACCTCCCACAGACCCAACATCCTAACACCATCACACAGAGGGTTAGAAGTCCAACATGTAAACTTTGGGGGGACACAAACATTCAGACACCAACACGGAGCTAACATCTGGGTTTGATTAACGAAGCAAGCCTCCCACCCTGCACCTGGAACACGCTCCGTATTTGGAAGTGGCTCCTTCTTCTCCCAATCCGTCAGGTGTCAGGTGCCAGATTTTCCTTCCGTAGGAACCTGCATACAGACGCTGGCTCCCAAACCATCCCAGGGCCTGGTGGGGGCAGGAATGGGGGCTACCGGGGGACTAACGCATCTGTGCATCTCAATGGCCGCTGAGTACCAGGTGCGGAGGATTCGAGAGCAACCAGGTGGGGCTCTGACCGTGTCTTGTGAGCACCAATGTGAGCTTTGAAAGAGGGGGGCACAGTGGCCACAGGGCCACAAAGAAGGGGTTGTCACCTGGCCTGGGGCGGGCGGACTGAGTGGGAGGTATTGTATGCTGAGGGCAGAGGACAGGCTCCTGGCACACAGGCGGATGGTGAGGCTGGAGCATGGGGACAGGGAGGCAATAGTGGAAGCTGGGGTAGGGGGTTAGGGCCTGACCGGAGCCTTTGGAGCCATGTCCAGGAGGCTAGGCTGGTCCCTGGGGGGCAATCGGGAGCCAGCAAGGGTTCACGTGGGGGACAGGACTATTTCTGAGCTTCGGGCAGGTCACCTTGGCCAGGATAGGTAGAGAGGGGAGCACACACAAGGGGGTAGGCAGACCCAGGGGGTCAGTGCAGAGACCGGCAGCCACGGGAGGCCACAGACCATGAGGACAGGCCGTGGGAGCGAGCACCATGGCACAACTCTCTGGGAGCCAAGGGAGGAGTCTTGTCCTTGGCAAGTGTGTTTGTCCTTCTTGGACTAGTTGAATGGACATAATATAAAACATGAAACTATGTATTTTCCAAACAACTTGGCAAAAAGAAAAAAACGTGCTCCAAATTTTAAAAAAGCCGGTTCCATTTTCGAGTCCAGAAGCAGCCCTTGGTGGGGCTGCAGCTGTGGGAGGCAGGGCTGGGGGGCACGTCTGTGGCCGTCCCCGAGGACTCGGCCAGGGCTGGGCCCGAGGACGCGGACCTTTCTGGTTCAGCTGGCACGAGTCTGATGGATGAGACAGTTAGAAAGGAAACGGCCTTGGTTTTCAGCGTTCGTGTGGTTTTCACAAATGACAGCCGGAAGAGAAGTGGTTTTTCTTCCTTGACAACAGACAAGTTGGGTCAGGGCGAACGATGGAGCAGAATCAAGACAGAGCACATGCTCAGAAGACACCTGTGAGACTGACACATCCATAGAGGGCGAGCAAGACCCCTGGGCACGGCTGGGCACACGGCTTCCCCGGGAATGGACTGCGAGAGTGTACTTTGTGGGAGGCTGAGAAGCTTCCAGAATCTGAGTGCCAGGCCTGAGTCATCACCTCAGAAGAGGAGAGCTTAATTAGAGCCGGAGGGAAGACTCAGGGTGAACTAAGGAGGCAGAAATGTCGTAACAAAGCATGTCCTGGACAGAAAGGTGGTGGAAAAGGTAACGTAGACTTTCAAAAGCCAGCCAGGGGACAGAAGGACACTGTGATGAGGGACAGCAGCCCCCATCGTGCTGGGCGCCTGTCTGCAAGTCGCCCATGCCGTCTTGGCATCTTGGGTCTGAGAGGTGGGTACGGTCACGCGGGAGGCGGCAGGGGGGCGGTGGGGCTTCCTCTGGGGCTGAGCGGGGAGGGAGGGCCTCGG